TGATCTTGATGAATAAAAATTTATTATATTTTTCCTGATGAATAAAAAATTTTTTTTTAAATAAATTTAATATTTAACGGATATTCAGCGGATATTCGGTGAATGACCAATTATCCGGGTGTTGAATTCTATTGACTGACCAATTATCCGGATGTTGAGTTTTATTGATTGACTAATTGCTCAAACACCCGGATAATCAACGGATACAACCACTAGGTTTAAGTATTTATTCATCCAATGAAAATAATGAATTGGTTTATAAATCACAATATCACGTTATGGCTATGATGATAAATTCGGTTCTAAAAGTTATTTTGTAAATTCTGATTATCTTCTATTGAATGATAAGTTTTCATTATTATCACTATGGAATCCAAACTATAACATATCAAATAATTGTTATTTATATAAAAAATTTCATACTCGTATAACATTTAATCAAGACAAAACAATAATGGCATTACATTATAAAGATGATTTTAAAATATAGTTTATTCAATAAAACATATTATTATTATTATTTCTTCATGTAAGTATTATCTAGCTTTGTTTGTTGATTGGTTGGTTGGTTTATTTATACATGATTATTTATTTATTTTTTATCTTACAGTTGAATTGGAAAATAATATCACTGTTAAAAAATTAGATTTTATGGTTTATTATTAATATATCATATAAATACAATAATTACATTTATAAATTAATGGATCCTTATAATTTAGACAACTCTGTAGAAAATACATATGAAGATAAAAATGATATCAACCTTATCCAATTATAAAATAGTTATGGTTATTAACAATCAAATTTATATCAAAGAAATTATTAACAAAGAAAAATCAGACACTGTTCAACAAATATGTATAAAAAATAGGTATCATTTATATTTATATATAGGACAAACATTAAGTGAAATCTATGAAAAACTTAATGACAAGGATTATGAAAAACCAAAAGAATCTGATATTAAAACAGGAAAAACTATTAAATGGTCAGTAGAGCATAGCAAATATCTTTCTTTTCAACATAAAAGCTCAAAAAATTGATAATGAAATAAAAGAAGAATTTCTAACAATTGATGAATATGGCTTTCGGGCTGGGGAACAGCGTATATATTATCAATTACTAAGTGATGATGATTTGATTTTAATAATAAAACTATCCACAATATTTAATCAAAGAACCTATATATGCATTTTGTCATTTAATATTAAAAGTTCTAAAATATTTACAAAGTATATTAAAGAAATCAGTTCATTAGAATCATTAGAACAAATTAAAACAGCTATAAAAAAGAATAATATTGAAGACTATTTATTTAATTTTAATGACATTGCTCAAGAATATAATATTCATTCATATATTGATAAACATCAAATTTCCAGACACCCTTATAAAGAAATGATTTTATATATGTTGGATGATTTATATAATTTCAAATATGGAGAAAAAATTTTCAGGTTAGCACTAGATGTAAAAAAAAATGATAGTATAGTTCTAGAAAAATTATTTGATTCCTGTCTTGAATATTTTAAAAAGGATGCTGCAACAAATATGAGCTTACTAAAAATAATAATATCAGAATTACCAAGATTACAAAAAAATTATCAACAATTCTTTAATCAAACTTCAATGATATTATTTCCATTTAATGATGACATTTATCATGAAGAAATTATTTATAATGCAATGATTAATGAAAAATTTTATTTATAAATATAAAAGCTTTTTGGATTATTGGTGTTATTTTTGGGATAATTTTCGGGAGTTTAGAAGCAATGTAAAATATCTAATGTCTTCATTCAAAGATAAGGACAATAAAGGCAACACTAAACCTTGTGTAAAATTGATAATTCCATATCCTGGTTTACTTACATACAAACCCAAATATTCACTATTGAAAGAATTATATTTTGTTGAATTAGTTGAATTGATACTTTAGAATTATATGAGCATTTGAGTAGTAAATTAATTTTAGATCATAAATGGAACACTTTTGGATTCGGATATTATATTGGAATATTGATTTTTTTATGAAGTTTTGCTATTGCAACTTCCACTTCACCAGATCAGTTATCTGATAACGATAGAAATTCATTGTTAATAACAACAATTATCCTTGGAACAATTCATCTCACAATAAAAGTTAGACATTTTATCTGGAAACCAATAAAATATATCACAGATCTCTGGAATTCTGTTGGTATGGTGTTATAATTAATTATTAATAATATTATCATATTAATTATTAATTAATTAATTTTTAATAATATTATTATTATGTTAATTATTAATAGACCTAGGTGCCTATTCCTTAGCAATTGTTACTTCAATTCTATGGTTGCATTATAATATTCCACCACCTGTTCAACTAGTTTCTGCATCAAATTTATTACTAGATTTAAGATTAATGTTATTTTTAAGAGTTTTTAAACATTTTGGAGCATATTTTGCCATTATTATAGGAGTTGCTAAAAAAGTCTTTTGGTTCTTAATTATAAT